GAGTTTGCTTCAGCCTATATAGCATTGCCTCAATAACAAAATAGCCATCTACTAATTAAGAGCCATTAAAAACAAAAGGAAATGGGGACAAGAAAAATGCATATTGTATCTTCTTTAGAATTGCAAAAAGTTATTATTTTGCAAATATTTCAACACTATCTTCCTTAATTTGGCAGGAAAATCTGGGAAAACAACTTATATCATTGAAATGCAATAGTCAAGTAAAGAAGGGCTTGACTTATTTTGGAATATTTTTCCACTTAATTTCCTTTATAATAATAGTAACATATAGTATCATAACCAGCCTTATCTTGCAGGTCCAAAATGGGATGCATATACCATTTAGAATGGGGGTTAAGCAACAACTCCAAACACTTTCCCGAATGCCTAACAATGATAACAAACAGATGTCTATACTAGAGGACCCAAATTTGCTTCCCAATAAGTGAAGTCTTTATAGTGTTCCCTCTTAGAGAAATGTGAAGATGTGTATTATATTGTTGAGTGGAACTAGTGTTTTTTTAAGTAGGATAATATCCTTCTATGTGACAGGCTGCACAAAATTGAAGATAATAGTTTAAAATTTTTTTGGCTCATATTAGTTGGTGAATGGGACCTACAATAATGTAATTTATTTTCAACTCTCAAGGATGTGGAATGCTCCACAAGTCTCTCCTTTGGAAGTTATTCTTGTTACTTTAGTGCTAGCAGAAGTTCAGATATATCTAATTTTGGACAAGAAAGTGGCATCATTAATGAGTTATGTGGAACATCATTTAGGGTACAACTGGGTGGGCAATACCCTTACCCTCCATACAATATTAATCTGTTGATTGGCTCTAAATTCCAACCATTAGCAGACATGAACTTCCAAGAAAATAGTATATATTATCATCTTAATGAAGGGCTAGAAGCTCTTGGACCCATATATTAATCAGACTACCCAAGGTCATTAGATCTCCACTTTCAAACGATGTGCCATTGCCATGTTTCGAAAGCATTTATATTCCTAAGTAAGTCCACTATGCTTTGAATTTTTGCACATTCTTCTCATTCATGATTGCACTATTATTTATCTGTTGCCTTCAAATAAATTGAGTAGCCTTTGGGAGTGGGGATAAGAGGAGAAAGGCTCAAAGAGGTAATTGCCTTTTAGCTTGGAATACCTTTAAAATTTTTTGCTCGGTACCCAATAGCTTTTCAAATTAGCAAGCAATTTCCCTCTAACTATAAAGTTAAAGATTTCATATCATATATATATATACACACACATAGATATATAACTAGAGATCTATTTACACACAAGTCTTACACATCACCCTTTTTACTAAAGTCTCAACCATTTATCTTTTCACTTTCAATGGTTGAAATTTATCATGACTTTTAGATGAAAAATTTAATTATTGTTAATAAATATGATAAAAAGTGAATAAATCTTAAATATTGAAAGTGAAGAGATGAATGGTCAAAATTTTGTGTAAATGAGGTGTGTAAGATTTATGTGTAAGTGGATCCCTCCTTATATATATATATATATATTGTACATTGGAGAAGTTAATTGCTTGGCAACACAAGGGTTTAAATGCTTGACTTTGACTTCAAATCAAGTTTTTAAAGTTAGTTGGTACTAACTTTGTTAAACTCTTGCTAGTAGATATCATATCACATTTGTATACATAATTCTCTCCTTTAAAAAAAAAAA